GGGGTTGTGTCACAGAATGAATTTATTATATTATTCAAATGATTATTCTTACCCTCGAGTATTTTCGACTTTCAGAGATGAAAAAATAATTGAGGCATCTCAACGTGAAGATAAATTTATTAATAATTTATTATTCATTGGTTAACAATTTTTTCAGGTGGACTTGAGAAGAAAGAAATTGTGTAACAATGATGGCGTGAATTTATGGAGAGATTAGCCATTAAAAGACAATCTAATTAATTTATTATTGTTGTAGTACATGGATTACGTCGATGGCATAACTTTCAACGTAACGATTAATGAAATTTGCAGTCTCCTGTCTCAAGGTCATGGACGTTTCGATTTATTTTTATTTTTCTTTTCACAAGTAACCACATGAATACCTGGTGAAACGTGTATTTCATATCGGTGGCTTGAATAAAAGAAGTCGAGATAAATGTGCAAAAAAGAAACAAAAAAAATAAACATGAAAGGAGGAATGTAAAGGAACCTTTCGTACAGACATAACGGTACGATTGCGTCTGGATTTTTGCTGGGATTTATTCTCACGGAGGTTATTCAATCGAAAAAATTCATTTGTACTCACAGAAATTCAAGAATAAAAACTTCCAATGAATGCCAAGTAATGAATTAACTTATTTCATTGGAATTACAGCGCGCGAGAGATTATTTATTGTAAAACTTTCAGTCGATTCTATGGAATGGACACTTCAATGGGATCATAATGGGATTATAATTGGTTGATGTCATACAAATGATACGATAATCGCTCATGACAGACGAGAAAAATCTAAAAAGTTCCAAGAAACTCTCAGAAAAATCACGTGAATAAAAAAAATCATTGCACTATATATAAAAAGTTGAATTCAATTACTGGATAAGTGAATTTTTCACAGATAGACAGACACACGTAAATACAGATGAATGAACCATCAATGGAGTGGAGTTGTCATGAAAACACCTCTTGGTGACCGCATTTGGATTGAAAGTAAGGCTCAAAAAGGCCGGAGACTTGAATCGCGGAAAATTTTCCATGATCAAGTGTGTCACACCTAGGTATAAAAAATATCGCCAAACAAATGGAATATTTTTTAGTTTCGGCTGTACAGAGCTCTAAGTGAAGTATGATAAGAAAAAAAATAGAGAGATTATGAATGAGTAAATTGGAATTAATATTTTTGTATATACTTTCGTTAGCAGAATAAACCATATGATTTGGATGTTTAATTGAAATAGAAAATAGAAGAATTGAATTGTAAAAATTAATTTAAAAATCCTCTTTTGAGGACCAATGACACTATTGGCGCCAAAATCAGCAAAAAAATGGTATTTTAAACATTAAAAATTTTATAAAAAATAAAAGTGGGTTTTTTTTGTCAATACTCACGTTTTTGCGACGAATATCATTTTTTTTTTGCTCTAAAAGTGTCTAAAAATAATGATTAATCAAAAAACATCATTTTTTCCAATTTTTTATAAAAAACTGAATTTTTTTTTCTTCACAATTTTTCGTGTAACTCATCACTGAAATCCGTAAGTGACGCCTGAAAAAGAAAAGTTTAATTAAAATTTTCTAGAACCAAAACGAATGATTAAAAATCAAAATGAAAAAATAGAGTGTGTTATATTTACGTGGGGAATGGATGGGCGAATTTGCAAATAAATAAAAAATGATAAATGGTTGAAATTTCACGAGTTGACATGGAATGCCGCATATGTACACTAAGAAAGTGAGGAAAGGATAAAAATTAGTCAACCGATAATTAGCGTTGGATTTGAATGAAAATCCTGCACTCGTGACGAACTGGAGGTGTTAATTTATCTAAATAACATATTCACATCACTCATTGACGGCACATACATCTGAAAATAAATACTAGAAGATGTACACCTCGCACTCAAGGTGTGCAACAATAATAAATATCAGCACGATAACCTTTGGCGCGTAAAATATTATTCTACAGGTATGATCGAATCTCGTGGAGAAATCCAAGAAAACAGATGAAAAATATATTTTCAGTGTTTTTAACATAAACTACAATCGCCGTCGATTTGCTCTCGGTTTATCTATCTCGATATCACGGGAACCAGAGGGAAAGAGGTCTCGTGAGCAAATAATCATCCATTCTAGGGTTGCCTCAGGCCTCAGAGATAGAAATTTGCGATTCCTCTGGTCTCTATCGATAAATCGACAACAGCCAGAGGTGAATACACTCTAGTTGTTGACAGAAGCAATCATCTTGTTTCATCGAGAATATCTGAAAATATTTCGATAGAAAATTTGGTGGATTTATTATAAAAATTGGGATGAAATTAATCAATTGAACTTGCCTTCATCTAAAGAAACGTCCAGAATTTTTTTAACTAATAAAATCTCTTGATGTTTTTTAAGAGATTCAGAGATTTATGACGATTTTTTTTAGAATGAAGAATGTCTTTGGGAATTATCTCTTAAAATCAGTCAGGCAGAAACAATTGTACATGCAACAAGAAAAATCTCGACCCCTCATTGCACAATTGTTTTATGTCCCCCTGACTCCATTTATAAAACAATGATTACCAAAATGATTGAGTAAATATTTTCCGTTATTAGGTGCAAGTCGTCATCAATAATTCATCAAAAAATCAAGAGTTTCTTCAGTTCCCATCAGACTATAAAAAATAAAACAACAACAAATGATTACTCTGGATTTTCCATCACAGATGAATAATTTTCCAAAAAAACAAATGAAATGAAAATTAAAGGGCGACGAAATAAATATTTTCCAATTTCCAGAATACCTGTTATTGTGGTTTTTTCATTTGGTGATATGAAATTTGAAAAATTCCCTCCCCTGAAGGTCCAATCACCTGATTGCCACCCCCCGACCCCCGGAAACCATTAGCCCAATGCTGTAGGTGCTCTCACTGATAAATTCTCGAGAATTCCTTCCAGAGGGTAGACCGGGCAGACAGAATTCCCAACGAGTGCGAGAGAGAGTGATCTCATGGTGCCCCAGGTAAATACCAAGGGTGGGGTAAACCTCTGAGAATAACCGGACGGCAACCGGAGGCTCTGCGCACCTGGTCTGTGCGCACACAAAAACCAACACACCAACAACTAACAGAAAACATAAAAAAAAATAAGAAAGAAAAAAAATCATTGGCCCGCCTTTCCCTTCGGTTTCTTTACCTGACCGCCTGTATTTTCACCTCTCGTCCGAAGGCACCACAATTTCCACCATCCCAATTCACCGAAAAAAATTCAAATGAAATTCCACCAGCAGCACAACCTGTCAATGACAAAATTCATCTGGATAATTGCAAGTTTGTGGCCATTTGAATAAATAAATAAATAGATGATTGGATAAATAAATAAATAAACACCTCATATGGTGACCGGCGAGTTTGATGTGTGGCGTGGATTCACGAGCTCGGAATAAAAATTCCCCCTCTCCTCTCGTGACAGATACACATTCTAGGTGTTGGTATACCCATACATACACGAAAACCCACCAGGTAGCTACGTCAAAGGAAAATGGAGTGACAGAGAAACGGAATCGGACGAATGGCAAACGACGCGGCAGTCGCCAGGTGAGCCAACGGCAGTGCGCGGCGATCACTCGGCAGCTCGGCTTACAATTATTAATATACCATTTATTTACTAATAAAACAACGATATCAAAGTGTTATCGGATGTTTATGGATATTCACGTGTTACTTGTTACAAAAGAAAAAAAAAAAAACTTTCAATCGTCTGTGATTTATGGAATTAACCTGGGAATGAGATAAATGGTGCATCATTCGACGGCAACAAGTGGTGGGTGCTTGGATTTTCGGTTAAGGTGTGCTCATAACCTCGATTAATTATTAGAAATATCGGTAGGATTTTGGATGTGAAATGAGAGTGACGGGTTGAGGAAATATCGGAGTAACGGATACGATTGCCAGTGCCACCGACGGCAAGAGATACACGGATTTTTTTTGTGATCGTTTTGTTTGTTTTTTTTTTTTCTTTATTGAATGATTGTTAACTCTCGGTTCATGATTTGTTGGTTGTTCAGTGAGTGGGTGATAACGTGGGGTTGACCGGGGCTTGGGGAGCGGTGCCTGGTGCCGATCTGGAGATCGGTTTCGAGGTTTTTTTTTTTTTTTTTTTTGAGGAAACCAAGGGAAGATGCAGGTGATCGGGGAAAAGGGCCCGACGCATCTTGTCGCCCTTTATGTCGCCACTGCTGGGCTTCAGGGCAATGCACTTGGAAGTGATGAGGAAGAAATTATTTTGATGGTCTATGTCCTCATTGATGCACTACAGAATAAGGTGAGTGATAAATTTCATTCACTGGTAATTTAAAATAATTTTTTGAACCTCATAATCTGCACATTTCAATTTTTTTGTCTCAATTTTAAAAACAAAAAAAACTTTCTCGTTAAATTCCGTGATTTGCAATAAAAAGAAATGAATCATTATCACCACAATGAATAGATGAAAATTCTCTATGAGTTATTGAAAGAGTCCGACCAAACGGTTTCGTCAAAAGTGATAAACATTTATTCATTGAAGTGCTGGGGTTCATTAACAGTGAATGAGTAACTTCTGCGTCACTCATCGTTGTCAGTAAAACATGAAACTTTTACGCAAAGAAATATTCATCGACGTATTTCCGGGGGATATTGTGCGGTTTTCCGAGTCCAATGGACTTTCCAGGAAGCTCTGAGAATATCCAAAGTCGATACGCTCTGAATCGTTGAGATTTGCTTCTCATTCGCGTGTGTATGAGTCGTCCAGCATTGAGAAACGTAATCCCAAGAATTATCCAGTGTTGACCTTGTTCGTAATGTGAGGAATAATAACACTGCTTTCGGGCCACATATTAATCCGCACTGTCACGAAACGGTGATATAATCACCGGCATGTTTAAGTACCTTTCTGAGTGATTGGCTTATGATTTATTTGACGAATGTCGTATTTTTAGATGATTTCGAGTGTTCGAACTTTCCATGTCCCCAAATTTTTGGAGCCATTACTTCTCCATTGGCTTCACAGATAAAATTTCTTGGGAATGAAAAATGGGGGATGTTTAAAACGGTTACAAAATCAGATCTCTGAAAAATTTTTCGTCTGCCTCTTATCGAAACAAAAGGAGAGAAGGAAATTTGAATTTTGTGTTGAGCTCTAACAAATGTTTCTACTGTGCTAGTTACCTTTGTTGTGAATTCACTTGGAATTATTATTTCATCCTTTATCCTGTCTGGATAATCCGAATCTCCACATTGTTTTTGTTGTTTGAGAAACGAATGTCCACAGAGATGTTTCCTCATGTTTTCTCCCATCGTTCTGGTAATGACAAGGCGAAAAGCAACAAAAGAGTATTTTCTTCTAGGTACCGTGTCTCCAGCAATTTTATTGCTGCAATGACAGGAGAAAATCAAGATTGAGAGAAGTCTTTCTATTCAAAATTTTATTCTATTTTATTTTCAACGTTGTATTGCGAGGATTGCATGGAGAAATCTTCTGAAATCATCAATATATTGAGACGTAAAAAATACTTTGGAAATTACAGAAGATTAGTCTAATTTCGTTTCGTCAATCTTGGGGTGTTGGAAATTTGAAATTGAGTTCTAAATCCTTCTCTCACCAGTCGATTTCATGTCAAAAGAGCTGTTTTTCATATTGCGGAGTAGAAGAACGTCTTTATCTACCTCTTCTCCAATATTTTATTACTGTAATGACAGGAGACTATTTGAGGAGAGTCTTTCTAGTCAAAATTTAACTATTAAAGTCATGAACCATTTTACGCCACCACGCAGGAATTTTTAACGGGAATGCCCGTTTTTCATTGAACGTTACACTAAAAAATTTACGATGATTGTTTTATTAACATTCTCTGTACATTCACGTGAAGACGGAAATTCCTTGTCAATTCCGTCAATTTATTATGTAACAATTTTATCCCGTAAATTCCCTCCGAGTGTTGATGTTCGAATATCTCGTTTTTGAAGGAGTATGAAACAATTTTCAGTTTAAATTGTTGTTCATGAAAGCACTAGCTCCTTCTTTTATGGCAGTTAATGCCATTATGGGGAACAATTCCAAAAAGATAAAAAAAAAACTTAAGAACTCGTTTTTCTGGAGAATTGCTTGTGCGTCCCGTTTATTTCGAGGCGGACCCACAGAACTTTCTAAAAGTGCTAACATCTTGTTTATTTTTTCAACCTTCCACATTTCTGGAAAATTACCTGTGTACTTGGGACGGGTGCCTGGCGAATGCAAATCCGGTTGAATTTTAATTTTTTTGCGAGGGACTCGGCTTGAATTTCTGGCCGAGTCAACGGTCAAAAGTTCATACCCGAAGAAGAACCGTTAGTCGACGTTTCCAGAGAGACGAACCCCATTTTTACTCCATTCCTTCGTGTGAAGCACCTGCAGTTTTCACTTTACTCCAATTCATAATTCAATATTACGTAATGATCTCAGGTCGACTCCATTCATTCCTCAAATCATGCTCATCAATGATTAACTAAAAATCAGGATCTTCTCTGCTGGTGTAATCGTATCATAAAAAAATATAAATATTTCCCATTCATGAATTAATTCACTATTTTTGCGTAGAATTTTTGTAACAAAAATATTTCTCTGGGAGCAGAATAAAAATAATCAAAAAAAATAGAGATTACTCTGGAGATCGATTCTGTTGGAGTTTATATTCCATAATTATAAAAATTAATCTTATAGTTCACATTGTGTTTATGTTGTTATTTAACAGAAGATTTTTCTCATCCCAAATGCTGAAAAGTGCGTGGACAAATGGTTAGACAGTTTTTAGGCTAAAAATCGGTAAAATAATGGGTCCATGTCGCCAAAGTCCCTAGGATCGGTTTCCATTTTGAAACCTGTGTGACTAAAAATCACTGTTACAGACCACTTGATCATAAGAGTCCCGATGAGGTCGAATCCACTGGAATGCAGGGAACCGTTATCATTTATTCAGAAAGTTCAGTAGTTTAGTATCTCCAAGATGTCATGGACATTTGACCGACAGATCTTTTGGAACCAAAATCTGTCAATTGATACTCCTTTTTATTTACATTTTTTCCTGCATCAAGTATTTTGAAGTTGAATCACATTTCGCCGACACAAAAAAATTTCTATCTTCTAAATGAGAAGAGATACAGAAATTTTCGTAGAATCCTTTTTTGTAGGGCTAACATCGCTCTACAAAAAAGATAACCACGACAATTGCTCTATTTCTCTCCATTCACGTGATATCCACCGATAACTGACCCTGGGTGACAGAATTATCTTTGGGAAAATCGTTTTGGGGAAAGAGTCAACTCAAATGTTTTCCCACAATCTTTAGATGATTTTTCTGAGTCTTTCTGGAGATATCTGAGCAAATGCCGGTATGATAAATATGTCTGATATATTTCGACTAGTTTAAGAAGTTGTTATTAATATCTTCTCTTTCTTCAATTTTTTTTTTACAAATTTCCGCAAAACGATTGATCAAATTAATATGAAAAAATATCCTGTTCTTAAGTTTCATTATTATTGATTGTCTCGCGAAATTTAATTACTGTGGAAAAATTCTAGGAGAATTCTCAGTAAATTTATGCCAAAATCAAAACTCTACCAAAAATTCCGAAAAACAGATGGACGACTACAAAAATTTCTGAATCATTGAATAATGATAAAATCTATAAACGTAATTTTTTCACGCGAATCTAATCGACGGTTTCCCCGAAATTTCGGAATAAACATAAAAAAAATGAGAAAATATCGGTAATAACTCGTCAATATTTTCATGGATAAGTCGACTTGATGGGGAAATTTGATCAATACCCTGGAGTAACGGTTAAACCTTAGGCTTTGATGGTTGTGTACATGTTGGACAGCTGCCATTGTGTCTGAAATTATCTGGTCGCGGTGGAGGCGGAGCGTCGCGCCCTCGGGACGTCGTCCATCGCCATTCCGACAAGAAAGTCTTTAGTTTTTCATCATTCCATTCCCGATGAAAAGAATTTTTCACGTACCGTCCAGACCTTTCACTCCAGTCAAATTTATTTCACTTGTGATTTAAACACGAATCGATTACGTGCTCACATCATTATCACTGGCAGCTGTGATTGATAACCCATCGATTGTACATGATCGATTGAATCACAGGCATTCTCACCTGTTTCAGGGATATCGGAAGTGCAGCTGAAGGTTTTCTTTGTCCTCAAGAAATATTCATTCTTAATACAGAACCATTTTCTGAATTAATAAGATATTATTTTATTTTATAATAATAATGATCATCATCAATACGACAGCATGAATTAAATTTAAAGAATATAAATTTTGGTATTATTATAGATCTATAGTCTTTCAATTAATTCAATAAATTTCAGGTTGATGAAAAATCGTTGAAGACATTGTATTCGATTATATCGAGTGGTACGATAAATTTATAAAACCGTATCCACTGTTAGAAGTCGTCGACCATTGCACGTTCATCCCACAGACTCCACCTTAAACACAATCTTTTTTTTTCCACTACCCTGTTATCTTCTTTATCGATCCCTGACGTGCAATTAGCGCCAGTTACATTTCCGGTTTATTCTGACACTTTCCTGGATTACGGTAAAGTCTGGGGTAGGAACAAGCAGTGGGACGATAACTCATACTTTTTTTTAATTAAAAATCTGATGAGGACTTGATACAAATTTTTTCATGAATTATTGTAATCAAATTCGTGGAGGGGTAATTAAAATCTGACGGCGCCGGTTATCACATGGAGATACGGAGTGATTATCTCTGAGTGATACTGATGCTCTGGTTTTCATATATTTTTTTTTAAAGAATTCTTTTCGTTTGTATGATTGCCATCATGAGTACACCATTGTGAAAAATAATTGTGTTTGGTATTACACAATTGCAGAAGGAAAATAATCGAGGAAATTATTTTTAACAATTTTCGTGGAGAATCAATATTTTTGAATTGAATTAATCTGGAGGGGAAATTGCGCTCTGGATTAAGAGATAATCGTTATGATTTTAGGACATAATCCTTCGACTGAGATTTCTCTTGGGGATTATCTCTGATACCGTCTATTTGCTTTCCTAGTTTCGGTCTCAACCCAGACATTGCTGCATTTTTTTAGAAATTTTCTGGGGAATCACGCTGTCTTACCGATAATGGCAGTTCAATCAACTGATTTTATTTGTTAAAACTTCTTTAGAACTTTAATTTTCCTTGATTAAAAAAAAATAAAACAAGTGGTTCATTGGAGATGGTAATATCTTGAATAAACACGATTGAAATATTTCTTTATCTGCAATTATTGCTGGCAAACTCAACTAATTTATGAAACAAAAAATCGTAGGGACTTTGGTGACATCCACCCGTAAAGGGCCCATTATTTCACGGATTTTTAAACTGAAAAACGAAATATCTAAACATTTATCCTCGCACTTCCCATAATTCAAGATGAGAAAAATGTTATCATAAATAATACCATAAATACTCAGTGAAATTAAGATTAATTTTTGTAATCATTGAATGTCAACTCCAATACGTTTGGTGTCTATTTTTAAAAATATTATCTAGTAATTAAAAAAATGTAACGAATCACTTGATAATGTGGTATGCCCGGGATTATTAGATTAAAATAACCGCCTCCGAGTTAACGCTAAATAAAAATAAAATTTTGAGTCGAAGTGTTGCCCATGAACCCATTCCCATTTAATTTTTTGTAATTTCCTCTCGTTATTATATTCCTTCCAGAAAATAAAAGTTCAATTTCACTTGATTTATATATTGTTATAAATTTCGAGAGCTACATCATGAATTATTTAATCATAGATAAATCATACTGAAAACAGTCAAGTATTTCGACTGGCATTGAATCGTTGAACCTAACAAATGCATCGATTTAAAAAATATTTATGTTCTTTAAATGTCAACCGGTGTCTGGAGTATATTCATAAATCAAAATAATCACGGCAAATTCCAATCTACAAATGACCAAAAGCATCAATCACGAGGCGTCTCTCGTCATCAAGCTCCTCGACAAATCATCGATCCATCCCCTGATTAAGTCGTAACGTCTCATCAAAAAACACAACCGTCACGATTTCATTTTGCCACACACAACCGATGATATAAAAAACAAACGGATTGGATTGTCGGTGCCAATGTCCATTGGCTATAAAACATTGGTAGCTTGAAAAGTTTGTCTCGAGTCTTGTCAACCCACTTTTATTTTTCCACCAACTATCGAAGAAAAGGTGTAATATCAACTACCTTGATCTGTTAACCTCATCGTATACTGCACATACTCAACTATTACGTTTCTTATGCTACCATGACTAAAAAGATATGTCGCGTGTATTGCTCGTGCGTTATCGTTATCGTTACGTACCTCTTTGCCAGTTTCCTCTGCAATTCTCCTTTCCCTCTGTTTATTTTTTATTTTTTTACCATTCCACGAATTCTAGAACACACGTCACATCTGTAGATTTCGTTGAATTATTCAATAGCAAAGTGAATAAATCGAATATTTTTATTGAGATTAATATTATTTATTCTGCCGAAATGCATTAGTCAATTAATGACAATTATTCTTGCTTTTTCAGGAATTCCCTGAATGTTTATTGAATTTATGAAATTTTTGCAGGATTTCTTCCATTTTTTCGAAAATTTGACAGTAAATATTCATTTACTTCGATTTCTGTGGATTTTTATGCAACTGGAATTCTTTGACCGTTTTCTTTATGCAATTCTCATTTTTTTTTTATCATTCTAGGAATTCTAGAACATGCGTCAGTTCTGTGTGGATTTTGTTGAATAATTCAGGAGGGAAGTGGTAAAGTGAAAAAGTCGAACTGAATATTTTTATTAATTATCGCTTCATCTCTAAAACCAGCGATTTGAGGGGAAAACATAAGAGAACTTTTTTGTTGGTGATTGAATTATCGATAAATTACATCTTTTCATAATTTCTCCTCAAATGAATACATACACCTAAAAATCACTCGATATTTGACTATCAAATTCTGCTTATCTCACTTTACCACTTCGCCACTGAATCTCTTTGATGTATTTGCGTTGCAAATGCTTCAATATATCATTCGCATAATGAGGATTTATTTATATTCAGAGGCCAAAATCCGTAAAAATAATGACAAAATTTTTTTTGATTGGAGAATATTCTTTAATTATTCTTACAAACGACAGATTATTTTCCCAAGTATTTCTCCCCGAAACTGTCTTTAATATCCTCTTCTGAAGATTACTGTTTAATTTATTACTGTTAAATTTGTCCATAAAATATATTTTTTAATCAATATTGTTGCTGTTAATGAAAGAAAACGTTCTGTCTCGTGGGATTTCTACGGCTTGATAAAATATTGATGATAATTCTCACTTCGATTGATAGATTAGCATTTCATCAGTGGAAATGTTTCGTCAACGCATTCAGCACTGACTGATCAGGCCATAGGTGCTGACCTGCAGCTCTTCCTATAAAAAGAAAACTCAAATAGTAAATCGAATGCACCTATAATAAAATTGAATAGTGCTCGCAGGCTAAGCAAAAATTGGGTGACAACTAATGACGCGTTGGGAAATGACTGTGAAATTTTCCAATCCCCAGGAAATTTTCACGTTCATTTTTCAAATCGATATTCATGAATTTTTAATGACAATTCAGTTCAACTTACATTTTCCACTGTTCAATTGAAGTTCAAGTGAATCCTTCAGAATGAAAATGCAGAGGTAAAATTCTCTAACTAAAATACAAATACGGTTTTTAAATAAAACTATCTCCAATGGTTATTTGTCGTGCTCGTTTAAACTGAAATAAAATAAAGACGTCATGACATGCGCTTGAAGAACGAATTAAATTCAGAATACCCTCATTTGAAAGGCTGCGGTAATCATACGCTTTTCAAATGAACTCGACAACTATGAATATGCGAATTTCGTAAAAGAGACTCTCGTGATACCCGAAGAAATACCTGGGATGCATAATTCCACGTCTTTCCGGTGACAGTCGATATAACTGTAGTCAATCAATCATCAAATGCTTTTTTCATCAATTTTATTTATCCTGTCTTTCCCTCGTAAGTGTCCTGTGAGGAAATACTTATTATTTACGACACGACATGTATCAGTAATTATCTGGGTTTTATTTTTTATTCAGGTTATGGGTCAGCAACAGTACATCGTTCAACCGTGGTCAATGGCTCCAAATGCGAAACAGACGGAAGACGAGAATAATTCGACAACAGCTGAGGGCAGTGGTGTCGTCAGTGAAACAGCTTTGGCACATGCGCCTAGCTTAGATGAGCAAGTCCTCAAGGAACAGGGGATTCCCCTACAAACCGCTATTCAACAGGTAAACTGGAGATATTTTTCATTTACCTGGGCTTTAATTAACTAGGTCTTGACCTATTTTTAATATTTTATAGTATGCGGTGAAATAAAAATTGTGGAATTGTTTTTACATAAATTATTAAAAACAACTAAAAATAAATGAAATTTAACATGCAAAAAACGGAGTGCATGTTTCGGTTAAAAAAAAATATTTTCTGTAGTTTTCAATTTTTATATTAAATCTATAAGATATAGTGTAATATATGGTATATATTTAATATATAGAAAATATATATTCAAGTCAATTTAAATTGAATATTTAATGTATATTATCATTGTTATTATTATATTATTAATAATTAAGGTGGAAAGAAGTTTTTCTCTGTGTGGAGGAGGACAAGAGAATTTCTGCGAAGGAATTCCCTCCATGAATGTTTTTTAGATCTGGAGATATTTCCACAACTGAGGGCGGAGTTTGACGAAATTTGACGAGTCATTTGCACTTAACAATATTTTTTTTTTCTGGAGATTATCGCGAATTTGAGACGATGGCGAGTTTTTATGTTCTTGTAGCGAAACTTGGAGAGATACAGAGATTTTCTGGAGAATGCGCTACCTCTTTAGATTGAAAGATATTCTTCTTGAGTCTAAATAATTCCCAGAAATGGTATTATAAAATAAAACTAAGAGAGATAGTCAAATTTTTGTGACAATTTGAGTTAAAAAAATCTCCAAGTTGACTGGACAATTCATTATTTTATTTAATAATATTTTACATTGTTTATTTTATTTAATAATATCGCGAGGATTTATTGCCGATATCTTCTCATTTTTTATTATTACCGTTATCAACTTTTGCAAAAATTCCCAAAACCTTAACAAAAATTATAAAAAATAGACGTACGACTATGAAAATTTGTGAGTCATTGAATAATAAAAAAAATGTAAAAATGGGATATTATTTCACGTCAATTGTATCAATGGTTTTCCAGAAATTTATGAAAAACATGAAAAATGAGAAGATATCGGTAATAACTCCTTAAGACAATGTTACGTAATTATTAGGGTACGGCATAAGTAAAGATTCCGGATGAATTCGAGTGTCTAGGAAGCCTCTCGTTTTATTTTTCTTTTTAGTACTATTTGCCATAGCCACTCGGTAATACCAGGATTTACCCGACCTCCCATCATTGCATCACAGTCCAGCAAAGTTTGATGGAGATGTCGCTGAAATAAGAGAGAAATAAAAAATACTCTCGAAATCCTCTCAAACGTTGAGTCGCCATAATTTGCGTTGTGACATCCTTTGTTGGGAAATTGAGACTTGGGGGACTTTTATTTGTATGCACCGGGAAAAAAGGGGGAATAACATTTTTCGGGGGATTTCTAGACATTCTAAACATGAATGTCACATTTATGCTAATTTTATGGATGCATGCAGGTCGCGACCACTCGGTTTTCTCCAAAAACGAATTTTGTTGGATTGAAAGACATCAGGTAGTCGGTACAAATTGTTTTATCTTTGTTATTCAATTTTAGGGGGAAGTAAATTAATTCAGGCATGAGTTGGGGACATAAATATGAAGAAGAGTTCCTCAGAAGAAAAGAAATGAGTGAAGAAAACTGAAAAAAATTACATTTCTTGCAGCGGATCTCAATAATCTAAACTAAACTGAATAATTCTGACAATAATTGAAGTGCACGTGGGATTAGTTTATAAAGAGTTCATTTTATTTAATTATTTGAATATGATGATATCTTCTCATATTTTTTTTGTAAGTCTCTAGACATCCCTGAATCATATTAACGTGAATAAATATACCGTTTATAGATCAAAATAATTATTTAATGATTTCCAAATTTTTAACCGTGCGTCCATTTTTATGAATTTTTGGTAATCTTTTGGGAATTTTCAGAAAAATTCGCTGAAAACGGGGGAATTATCAGGAAAATTAATAGTTATTAAATTTCATGAGACATTGAATAATAATAAAACTTGCAAACGGTATATTTTTCACATTAATTTGCACAATAATATTGTTTTACAATAAACGTGTACAAAATCCTAAATAAATCCTTAAAAAACAATGAATAATAACCACAGACTGAATCGAATTAAATTGGCAAAATGAATAATTCTTTAGTAATGATTGTATGATGTACTAGGTTGAAGTATATTTTTCGTTGGTGTAAACGTCTCAAATAACACTCAATAATTGAAGGTTCTTGTTAATTTGCAGTTTGAAAGTTGGTGGTCATCCCTGACGTGCGTATCCGCCGGAAGTCCGCCTCGTTTCGTCGTCGATGGTCAAGCACCCCTCCGGCAATGCCTTCACCCAGAGTGTTACAAGAAGGATCTCGATTTACCAGAGCACTACAACGTGTTTCACGATTTAAGAAAAGAATTCACCTCGTGCTACTCGTCCCAAGGAGAGCTGGCGACCCTCAGCATCCAGGAGATGATAGAATGTATCCTTTTTCCACTGGTGATTTATAACACGAGAAACACGTGAAATTTTCATTTGAACCCACGGGCTTTTTTACGGTTGCATGTTATCATTGTAAATTTTACCTTTGACACCGAGGCAAAATGCCACGTGAATGTATACTTATCCTTTTTAGCACGTGCGTATACGGGTAGAATATTCTGCACACTCTGGCCTCATGTATTCCTTGAATTACGAGACATGCGCGGGTCACAGATGTCAGTGTTTCTCAACGATAGCAATTAAATTGTTGCAACAATTTTACTAATCGCTCGAATTAGTCTTATCCACGTGAAAACGTCATTTGACGTGATTGCGGCTCATTTTTTTTACTCTCAGTTATTTTCGGTAAATTAACGGAAAGAATGCGACTGATGGACTCTTGTATTCTCTTGTCTGCATGAAGTTCCAAAGTTCTCTCATTACCTGGAAAATTACACTGAATTTCTCGGTTGAAAAGTACATGTAGATTGTTAATTTACAACGAAAATTATCCGAGGGATGGAGATTTTCGTCGTGCGATCTATCCATTCGTTGAATAATTTATCCAGAGGATGTTATGGATTGCAAAATATATAATCCAGGATTTAATGAATTTTTGAGTGTAGCAATCTGTTCTTGTTATCTTCAAAATGTTTTCATGTTCTTCACAACTTCCTTATGAAATTTGTTCTCGTGGATGAGCTCGAATATTTCTATTGCTGCAACGATTTTCCAAATGACTCAAATTACTTTTTACAGCGTAAAAACATAATTCGTTGTGATTTCGGTGAATTCGAGGAAATAATGCGACTTATGGAATCATCTTCTCATGCTCTCAGGTCTATACTTACATATGTTTCTGTACACGTACTCCTGGATTCCTCTCATTACCTGGGAAATCACACTCAATTTCGCTGTTGAACATTGAATGTTAATTGTGAAGGAAAAGAATTGGATGCAGTGGAGTTCATTGAATAAGTTTTACGTTACAAATAATTGTATTCGCTGCAGCGATTCGAATGCTCTGGAGTTTTTTTTTTATTCTACCTGAATTCTTCCACTAATTACTTTCCATTTTGATGTGTACACACAGTTTATTGAGTTTAGGATTGCCTCATTACAGGAGGCAAAAATTCTTGGTTTAGTTTCTCTAATTATTCTATTTATCCTCAAAATTCCAAATATTCATCAAAATTTTCCTACAAAACTTGACACAATCGTTTATTTATAGGAAACTTTGATTAATTTTGAAGCTGGCGGATTATTTCCCGCCTGAATTTCGACCTATCGAAACGTCGCATTTGATCTAAGGGGAGGAACTCAATTTATCTAGTATTTTGAGGGACATTTTTGCCGATTTTTTGATCAATAGTAAGAAATCATCTTCAAATCGATTTTTCAACTTTGATTCAGACCTTCATAAAACTTGACAGTTGTAATGTTTCATCAGGCCATTTTAATTGTTTACAAAATAAATTCACCAGTTAGCAACTATCAGGGAAATATTTGAAATAATACCCATCCACTTTCCCCAAATTGAGATCAAATGCGCCGTTTCTGTTGGTCGAAATTTTGATAAGGAAAATAATCCGACTAATTCATCTGTAGTTCAAGTTCATGATTGGATTTCAATTGGTAAATTGCCCCCCGAATAGTGAAATAATGGAATAAGTTGCGTTGATCGTGGAAGGTCACCACTCGAGGCTTCATCCACGACTGACACTTTCTGTTCCATAAAACATCATTTGAAATCAGCATAAAATTTGAATTGAGGATTGCGCGGGTCGAACTCACACGTACTGCCACACCGATTGCACCTTCGATCCTTGCCACTCGTAGAACGAAAGAGGGAAAAAAGTTTGCTTAGGAGAATGAAGGAAAAAAAAAGTTGAAATTACGCAAGAGACGAGGCCGATAACTAACCTGTGACCCTGTACCCTGACTCGTTTCATGAATAATGAAGGAACGGTGTAAGCAGCTCTAGACGCGCGAACGTTTAGACGTCAAGTCCGAAAAAAAAACTTGACACTTTAACGAAAACAAAATACTCAAAAACAATTGTCAATGGATTCATCATAATTTATGAGAGAATCAGACATGTCTCGAGGCCACGAGGCAGGAACAGCCATTTTAAATAGCAATTATTTATAATTTCTAATATTACTGAACTCAGATTATAGTACGAATAGCTCTGAAAAACTTGAGAATTTTTTCTAAAAGTTTTTGCCGCAATTAACATATCTCAGGATCACCCCAAGAGTTATTTCCCCAAACAAAAATTTCCTGAACAAAATGCCCGAAAAATAAAGATAATAAATTAATACGTTGACAAAAAAAAACAACAGCTACCGTAATTACGAGAACAAAACCTCTTTACAGCAGTACTTGCATGGGCAATACAATTACACGACTAAAAACAAAGAAAAGGGGAAAGAATTTTGTTTTTTCCGAGATTTTTCGTCAAAACAATCCCCCACCAGCCGCTCCCTTTCCCCTCCATTAAAGTAATTTCAAAAAATTGGCGCGCTTGAGCAGTAGATTCTGAAAATTTCAATTGGTAGATCCACAGCGCACGCGCAGTGGCGCCCCCACTGAATCGTCATAAGAAAACACCGGTTGAAAAGAATAACACCGCATAATGACTATCCCTTACGCACTTGAAAAACTTGAGGACTTCTGGACAAATTTGTATAAAGAAAAAAGCCCAGACATTTTCCCCGTGACAAGGGACTTCCCACAATTGTGTTGAACCATTCATTCGAGTCATTCACACCCGAACAATATGAAAAGGGCAGGGACACACCACTTGAGGCTCTCGTATGCTCTCGTATTACACTAGTCGACAAAACACATACATTCCACAGTCGACAGTTTGAACTCAGCCTGACATTCAACTTCCATCCGCCAATCCGTCCCGAAACCTCGTACCGAACACATCTGCTTGAGACCCAGAGATAACGACAAGAGTTTTTTTACTCATCTTTCTTCGAATAAAAATTGAGCCGAGATCCAGACAACAGGAGGACGACTGTGAACAGTTAAAGAATAACATAATTAACTTTACGAATAAAAATTGAAGTTCATACGTGTCTGGGGTTGGATTTTCATGTCAGCGTCGAGAAAGGTATGTTCTTCATTAAAAATCATCACTTGAAACTGGAAAAAAAAACTGGTCTATTTTCCAAGAGATATTTATGATTTAAATATAAAATACGTAAAGTGAATGAGAGAATAGATTTCGACGTTTTGAATAATTAATTTATCTTGAAAGCTATCGATTCCAGGAAGAAACGTCAGAAGTTGTCGGTTGGGGCCTCTTGTGCATGAGAATGGGGCATTGACTTGTTTAGGGCCCCTCAGTCGTAAAGTGACCACAGGGCCACGTGTGGGTGCGTAAGTCCATTTATTTCGTCTCTGAGGCTCTAGTCTCTCGGGCTTTCAGCATAAATGAAATTCACTCCTCCATTGTGCCATAATCCGAGACGTTGCGATGACGATGTGTTCGTACTGTTGTACGTGAGTGTTTCAAGTGGTGGTTAATACAACAAAAACCACCTGTTGCAGGTGGAAAGTCGTTGGATTCTACCGTTCGATCGTTTCCATTAATTTCGATTCAATCATGGCTATTGGCGTTTTTTTAATGAGTTCATGAGTTTCATTATCTTCGGCGTGTGGATTCACTCGGACGGATTTTTGTTTTTTTGATTCTTTAAGAATTGTTCTCTGAATTTTCAGTGTTGTAGAATTTTCTTCAAGATCTTCTCTATTTTTCAAGGTCTTTCATAAATATCTGACAGTTTTATTCCATGGGAAATCATTTCTTCGGTTATAAACTATTTACACAGTTTTAATAACTTTTTTTTTGGACTTATCTTCTCTTTTTCATCGTGAAGTGTTTGTTGACGCTTCAGGTCAATGGAGATCGTCACTCTCGGTTAGTTTCTGTACCCGTGAAAAGGACCGTTGGATTGTGGTGCAATTCTTATCATCAGTGTTGGATTAAAGGTCATATACCGTCAACGATACTGCACAGTGAGAAATTCAGCGATACGCAGTTGAATTTCGATCTTTGGATTTTCGATGTTATTGTAGTCGAAAAATTGCGAGGAAAGCCGTCAAATTTATTTCCATTAAGCTAGAGAAAATAGGTGGGATGAATAATAATTAAGTTGAATTATATTATCATTGAATTCTCCGGTGAATATCGGATTTTTCCAAGGTCCTGGACCTTGTTATGTCATCGCAGAGTGGATGACTGGTAATTATCTTTGCTGAGGGCATAAACCATTCATTCTTCCTACTATTTATCCTTGACCAGATGTATCATCAGATTTTGGTATTGCAGCTGAGGTTGAGAATGATTTTCACGTTAAGGAGGTTCAGGATATGATCAATGTTATTCAGAGGATGATCAAGGACGGTAAGACAGTTTTATTCCTGCACTGAGATAAAATATTATTTTGTAAAAGAAAAATTTCATTCACTCAAGAAAATATAATTTCGTTAATTAAAATAAAATCTGGTAAATCACGTTCTCAGGTTCTCAGATTGAGGAAAAAAATATCGGTGACGAAATTTATAGGTCAATTAGGATTAATTGATTCTATTGGTGATACTTCCTCATTTTTAATGATTAAAGTTGATTATTTAGTATTGGGTGATGATAAATTGAAGAAAATTCATTTTAAGAGAATGAATGTTCTTGAAGAGGAAGATCGAGCAATGCTTCCTTATTTTTACTGTTTGAACCTTCAATTTATTGTTATCAAGTGATAATATTTTCAAATGCGTTCCTTGTTTGGAATCGAAACGATCGCATGTCACACGAACGAGGGATTAAGGGGAAAGTAAGAAAAAAAAACATGAAATACAATAATAAAGTAATGGAGATTCGCCATTTTTTATGAGCAAGCATGACAGTAGTATTGTTTATTTTCGTCGAGTAAAAAATATAATGGCAAACAGTAAGATGAAGGGATTACTTTTAATTTTTTATTGAAAAAAAATCGAATTGATAATTCCATTATACCCTTTCTAATCTATTCGATGGATTTCCTGGGCAGGGAGATAATTTTTTAGACGAAAATCGTATCTGAGAGAGGAAAAGAAAATAAATTCTTCCAGAAAAGTCGAAAAACTTTCTAAAAGAGAGTAAAGTAAATTCCGAATTTATTGAATTCGTTCAATTCTAGAAGACCAATTGTTTAAACATAAAAACGAAAAATCGGTGAAGTTCTCTAGTTGAATAAAAAAAAGTTTTAAATATTAGTCGTTGGAGCAATTATTGGGAGAACAAGGGATTTATTGCTCGGGTTATTAGTTTAACTTGATTTAACTGGACTGTCTTTGATTCCGAAAGGCTTCATGAAATTTCTGGAAAATGTACGCGACTTGAACAATTACACCCACACCTAATGAAAATCGATCGGTCTCTGTGCATTTAACGGTCATAACACGCCCTCAGCAGCCCGTATATGTCGTAAAACAAACCCATGCTGGTTGTAATCCTTATCACAGTAGTGCTCAACTCATTCCCTTCGATTTATCAAAGTATCATAATTTAAATCGAGTCAATTCAAAGGGATTTAATTGCGATCCTAAATAGGACTGAAGAAGAATTTTCAATCACTCGTTTTTAAATCCACGTTGAAATGTATGAAAAGAGTATTGTGAGTTGAAATCGAGAGTGATCCTCCTGAATCAGCGAAAACACGAATAAGTATTTCTGCTGAGCTCTTCATAATCAAAATCCAAGAAGGGGAAATAATGAAAGAATGTTTGAGAAATGAGAGACAGGATGGGGGGTGTACAGTTACAATGAGCGTTGGCAAACCAGTCACGTATGGGACGGTCAAGTCATTCCCAAAGCTAGACATAAATTTGCATTTACTGTCACTGTGTAATTAGTTATCATTAAAGAGGTATTTTTTATTCTAGGCCACGTATTCCAGGATCCCGAAGTTATAAACCTGGTGTTGGAACCTGGGATATGGTGAGTAGAAAATTTGTCTTCGTCATGACTGATTTTCGAAGAATATCTTCAGATCTGCTGGGGATACCGAAATTTTCGTTAAGACCTTTTTTATAGGTCTCACTTCGCCCTAGAAAATTGGTTATAACAAAAATTTCGCTGTGTCGAGAAGATTCTGAGATATTCATCGAAAACCTGAGTGGAGAATAAATCGACGTGTTATCTCTTCGGTAATCAATTGGATCGCAAAAACTTCATGTGTCTTCAATCATTATTGTTGCAGCTCCAAGGATGAAGAAGTAGACAATAATTGTGTAGTGAGAGCACGTGGGTTACCTTGGCAATCCTCAGATCAGGACATTGCCAAGTTTTTCAGAGGACTGAATGTTGCCAAGTGAGTTTTTTTCCTCATTGTCATTGATTATCTGCTCATTACCGCCTGATGACTGCCATTAATATCTTGCCCCTCGACAAACCATAACTCGTTAATAATTAATGTAAAATTGATACACAAGCCCTCACGGATTGACAAAGGTAATTGAGCTTATTCAGCGCAGTTCCAGTAAATCTAGCAACTCCATAAATCATAAATCATTACCGCTCCCTCGAAAATTCTATTGAACATGACCAACAGAATGTTTATAAACATTCGTAATAACTCACAGCAAATAGAACGACAGATATGCTGACACGAAATTTATTCAGATGATCAGTGAGACTTAGATATGAGTTATCAAGGGTCAGGGATCATTCTAGTTACTTCATCGTCACTGGGTCAACAGAGACTCTAAAAATTGATGATATCCTCAATGTAGACAACTCTTTTAGATGTCATCACTTGTACAATAATTCAATGGAGTTGTGAGAAAACAATGCATTCGTTTTGTAATTAATCCTCTATTAAAAAATAGAAAGTAATAATAACAACAATAATAATGAGTGAATACTTTTTTCCTATTTTGTCGTGACGAAAGTTGAAGGTGAATTTTTCTTACAAATAAAATAGTCAAGACCTATAGAAAAATGGAAATTTATTTAATGAGAAAAGGAAAAAAAAGATGAATAAAACATGTACTGCGTAAAAGTAATTTGTCGTGAAAATCTTTTTGTTGGTCTTTGAATTCAGGAATATTTATGAGCATTGCGCCCTTCGGGAGTTGAATGGAATACTTTGTAGCACTATTGAGTTATTAATTAATGGCCTAATCAATGTTTTGAATCAACAGGGGTGGCGTTGCTTTGTGTTTGAGCCCTATGGGCAGACGTAACGGCGAGGCACTTGTACGTTTTGTTAATAAAGAACACAGAGACATGGCGTTGAAGAGGCATAAGCATCACATTGGTCCGAGATATATCGAGGTGTACAAATCATCTGGTGAGGAGTTTGTTCGTGTTGCTGGTGGTGCCAGTGGTGAGGCCCATGCATTTCTATCTAGAGGAGCTCAAGTTATCGTGAGAATGCGGGGCCTTCCCTATGATTGCGTTGCCAAACAAGTTGTGAGTTCATTACTCTCTTTTCTTTAATTACCAATAAATGCAATTGTTGTCAGCAATTTTTTAATTTGACGAGTGATTATTGGATGAATGGGAATTTATTTTTGCAGATTGAATTTTTCGCTGGTGGTCAAAATCCCTGTCAGGTGCTGGACGCCGAAGACGGTGTATTATTCGTGAAAAAGCCAGATGGCCGAGCAACGGGAGATGCATTCGTTTTATTCGCTAAAGAGGAAGACGCTGAGAAAGCTCTGAGCAAGCATCGTGACTGCATTGGCGTCAGATACATTGAACTCTTCCGCAGTACAACAGCAGAAGTGCAACAGGTGGGCTCATTACTATTTCCATTTGCCTCGAGTTCATTCAATTCCACCAATTAACTAACACTCTGATATAATGATCTCAGGTATTGAATAGAGCAATTGATGCTAAACCACAGCCTGATATTCCACCGATGCTGCCTCTGCCACCACAACTGCTGCCACAGTATGTCATCACGTCGGGTACCAGAAAAGACTGTGTTAGATTACGTGGACTGCCTTACGAGGCTCTCGTTGAACATATTCTTGAGTTCATGGGTGAATACGCTAAACATATCGTTTATCGTGGAGTTCACATGGTTTATAATGCCCAGGTATCTTATTTATTATTTCAGTTAGACTTTTTCTCTTCAAATATTCATCTGTTTTTTTATAATCATCTGAAAATCACGTAAATTAAAAAATTCGATTTAACCTTTCACCCAGTGATGGGTAAACTTCATTTTGTAAAGTTCTCAGTCCTCAGTCTTATTTCTCGAAAAAGTGTGAAGTATTTTGAATCCATTTTTCCAAGATTTAATCGTTATAAGTTCCGATGAATGAGATTGAAAAATTATTGAGGAAATTCCATTCAAAATTGATTTCAAAATTCCAAATATCTCTTCTTAAAAGTCCAAAAAATTACATTACGATTACAAAGCCAAAAGTTTAATACTCCATAATTTTTAAATCCCAAATACACAAGGACTTGAAAAGAAAGAAGACTTTCAAGACTTGACTATTTCGAAAGAAGTAAAAACTGAACAGGCATTGAATACTTTTATTGTTCGTTAAAGTGATCTCGAGAAAACCACAAGCCTATGAATATTATTCTATAACTTATTTGGCCTGTAATAAGATATCGACGAGTATAAAAATCACCTGATTGAATATTCAATGAAATTCCAGGGCCAGCCGTCAGGTGAAGCCTTCATCCAGATGGACAGTGAGAATTCGGCGTTCGCATGTGCATCCCAACGCCACCACCGCTACATGATCTTCGGTAAGAAGCAGCGTTACATCGAGGTATTCCAGTGCAGCGGTGACGACATGCACTTGGTGTTGACTGGTACACCACCCCTGCCAGCAAAATCGCTACTGTCATCCGGTACGTTGAGCACACACACACCCCCGGCAATAGCAGCGGCACCGACCGCCCAACCCCCCCAACTACCCGTCCAACAGCCCCAACAGGCCCCACTATGGGATATACACGCATTGGTACAGGCACAGGCTCAGGCACAAGCTGTACAAGCACAGGCACAGGCACAAGCAGCACAAGCTATGAGAAATCAAGACTTGTGGCTGATGGCTATTGCCAGTAATCAATCTAATAATCCAAGTAGCAATGCTGCATCATCACCAGGTGGTCCAGCTGCTGTTACTACGAGTAAAGCACTGGCACTACCACCACCTGGTCAGCATCAAATATCGACGTACACTATGTCCCCACATGCTGCATTGCATCAGCAACAGGCACATGCACCATTACTTTTTTTCAATGTACCACAGAGAATACCCATTATGCGAACACCCCAGCCACATCCCACTATATTGCCACCAATTATGCAGCCACCACCAATTAATCATCCGGCGCTTATGGGATTGAAACGGCCGTGGGATAATGCATTCCCTGCTGATGCTGTTGGCACTGTTCCCAAACGTCCTGCCTGGCAGGCACCACCTGCATTCCATACTCCTGGACCCACTGTTCCTGGATTATATCCTGCTCAATTTTATCCACAGATTTAGGGACTTCAAGGTCTCCGGTGAACCTGTCCTGTGGGCTCAATGGATACTTTAAATTGTCTTTTAAATCATTTTCAATCAAATTATAATTCAATTTGACGATTTCAAAGTGTCCATTTTGCTCCACTCTCCCTTGATGAGCTGAGAAATTAATTGCGAAAGATTTCCGAGATGAGAGATTTTCGGAGAGAAGTTACAATTATTTTTTTCTACATCGGGCAATTTGGGGGAATAATTGCCGAGTTTATTTTTCCCACAAACATTTATTATCGAGATAATTTGGTATTTCCCACGCCGTGAAAAATCGACTCGTTACATTCCACCACTTGATTGCTGATGAAAGTAATAGATTTACGCACACTAGATTATTCCGTTATTGTTTGCTTTCCTATTGGAAAAAAATCCCTCAATAAATTCATCCCATTGGTAATGTACTTTTTACATTACTCAATCGATCATTGAATTGGGATTATCGTGATAAGTCAATGTCCAGAGTTGACGCTATGAATTTTTTGCACATTTTTTTTTATACGCACACGTGTCTTAATGAGAATTTCTCAATGAAAAAAAGTACTTAGATCTTCCTGTCGAGACTTTACGTTCTAGACAATATCCGTGCGGTACTATAATTATTCGGAATTTCTACATCTCTGAGACTTAATTAATGTTTAATCTTTTACAATCTAAATGAGTTTGCAATATTTTGAAAATTTATTCCCTAGATTAAGTTGCCTATCAAGTGCCTTGATATAAGAATATTACGAGTTATGTAAATAATCTATTTTTCAACGAGACGATAATCAAGAGAATCAAGAAAATTTATACGAAAAATTTGATAATCATGAGAGAGAGTCAGGGTGTATATTTTGATAAAGACGTTTTTTTTTCAACGGATTATAGAATATTTCTATTTATTAGGATTATAATTAAAAATATAACAGATGCAGTAGTAATGGGGTAAATAGATTTTATTGACAGTCGAGTCTTAATGAAGTTCTTAATGAATATCTGTGAATCCAAGATATTCTCAAGGGAATCGACTGTTCCGGAGTGATGTGGATTATTCTATTTATAATTTTACTACTGAACAATTCCACAAATATTTAATGCCCACTTTCTGTCATTCTCTCTTCCTTTCCGTTCGATATTAAGTTAAGATGTCGACAGTAAAACCGTCCTGCAATGCATTAATATCATTCGAACGTCCAGTGCTCTGGGGAATACGATAACTTTTTATTGTGCAGCTAAAACGTGTTCCTTATTATTTCCGTTGCATTCCTATCGATTTATTTCAATAGAAAGCTCAGTACGTCCCGTAATTGCGTCTTGCATTCCACCGTAAATATTATTATTAGAAAATCATCGATATGGAAAAGTGGGAATATGTCGACGAGTGAAGAAAGTCGGAAAATATTTTCTGTAGAGAATCCAATTTTCCGGGGAAAATTTATTCCCACATTCTAATCACTGGCTCTCAAGATATTCCACCATCCTCTGCTTAATCCTTTCATAATTATCACTACCGATCATTAAGTGTCCATTTGATTGAAGGTGCAATTACACTTGTCCCTTCAGCCTTGCCCAAATGCCTGACTGCCCTCTTATGTAATTTCACTGAGTAATGCGACAGTACATTAATTAAGATTCCATATAATAGAACAATCTCACCTCGAAGCAGAGGAGATCAGTTCCAAATTTTTCCCAATCAAACCAAAAGCCTGAACAATCTTTTAAAGCTAGGAAATTAAAAACTAAATCCGTATGGAACTTCCAGTTCCAGTTGTTGTCATTTGCATTTTCATTTGTTCATTGTTCTTCAGCTTCGAGGTAAGACACGATCAATTTTTTTTGCATGGAGTGGTGTTTTGGAGAATAATGCATTATCATTGTTATTATTATTACCCTGAATGTGATGGGACATCGAGTGACATCTCGTTGTAATCACTGGGCTTGTCAGATTTCATACAAATACTAAACAAACGATGAGTTTGCAGTTCTACGGAAAGAAAAATCAAATTTTTGTATCGAATTTTGAGTGGAAAGGGGTATTTTCATAACTAAAAGAGTAACAAAATTGACTTTCTCTGGTAATTTCACAGGGATTATTAATATTTTTCTCTATTAATTGATTAAGTGTATAATCGACGAATGCAAGTCTTCCAACTGTGATGGGAAAATTATTATAATTGAATTATTGAGACACTATTCAAGATATCCAGCGGATCGAAGAGATCTGTTGATGATTCATCGATTTTTTTTTTATATTGTGGCACATTAGGTATGCAATGAGCTTTACCAAGAGCTAAATGTCCAAAATCTATCCAACAAAGACGATTAATTAAAAACGTCCAATTACTACTGAAGTAATCAACACCGACTTTTTACAGTGGTGATAGACATTCTCTCATTGTATGCTTACGTAATTTTTTTATGTAATTAATATAAAAAAAATCGCAGTATACTGTTGGCTTTCGCTGGATTGTCTGAGTCTTCATCTCGTGATGTTTTTTTTATTGAGAGACAGAAAATGAAAGGGATGAGAGAAGAATATTCACCAAATTAATGGACTCCATTGAAAATTAGTGAGCATTGAGCAGTGAAATAAATTGCCTGATTTATTTGAATTTGTAATTGTTGCAGTAAATTCATATGTGAATTAATAGATTTTATTTTTTAATGGAGTCTCATAAATAATCAATTTCTGGTCTCTATGGCACACGAGGGAGAAGCTAGTGGAAGAATACTGTAGAATTTCGAGTTGTTATTCATTCACCTGGTGTCGTTGATGGCTAACATGGTGACTGTCAGTGTTGGTTCTACATCTACAATTACATATAATTATTAATTAGTGATAATTAACTGGTGAAGTGGTGAAAGGAGACGACTGGAATATTCCCTCATTCTGAACGAATACCGCGGGAACTTCTTGCTTTAGTCTAAAATATCTGAGACAGTGCAGAGAAAATATTGTAGTAAAATTCACAAAAACGTCAGAGTAAATTCAACAATAAATTTTTTTCTCTCCGTACAAAAGCAGAGAGTAGATACCCAAGCAAATCTTGCCGAAATATGATCTCTTTTAATTCTCTCTTTCACCAATTCACTACTGATTCCATTGAACATGTGATTAATTAGCTTTCCATTCGCTTCTGTCCATTTTCTTTACGAATTTAAAATATATTGGGGTATGAGATAGATTGTTTTAGCGATGCGATGAATTTTAGAGATGATCAATGATTATTCTTGCTTTTCCACTGCCTCTGCCCAAGCGAAAGCTAACCAGTTCGTCACGTACATTCGTGGAATGAACTTGACTGTGCGAACACTTTTCTCCTTTTTTTTTTAAATGATAAATTATTAACTTGGCAATTCAATGGGAAGCTGTACTGCCGTGTTACCACAGCGATAAGAAACAAACAGAAAAACACAATGACGTAATGCTCTCACACAAAAGAAAAAAAAACACTAGGAACACATTTTTTTATTTGCTGTATACTCTTTGTATATCGATGATTATATTAATATTCAAATAATCATGTTTAATAAATGTAATCGTGTCTCGTGGATATCTATGCGCTTGCCGGGTTTTGGTGGACTCTTATCCTTGTTATACCTCGTGTGACGTACTTTTACTTCATTTGTTTATCATTATTATTTATGGTATTCTCAACTCCTCTCTTTATGGGCTCTCGTGGGGCTTTCCGGACATTTTTCACATTTTTTTTTGCGTTTTTTTTTCACTTTTTGTGGAGGTGCATGGGTTTTTTAGAGTGAATATTCTAATATTCTGGTTCGTTGTGACCTGAATAGTATTATAATTTTTTTATAGACGATAGATTGTAATTTTTTTTGTCTAACTGCTTCCTTCGGAGAATACAAAATCTTCCCATCGATTTTCATAACTACCATTTCACCTGTCCCTTTAAAAATCACTGAAAATAATCACGAGAGTGATAAATTATTAAATTTAAGGAACTAATTTATCGAACCGCTGGAATTGCTCGAGCAAATTTAATTTCCGTATGACTGGAAAGCTCGACATGACTCACTGGGGAGTTGGTAAAAGTACGTCTAACACTCCTATCACATTATCTAAAAAACAAATAAAATATAGAGAATAAGAGATAAATACTTTACTTGGGTTTGCAGGTATTTATGGAGTTGATTGAGAAGATTGTGTCGTAACACTGTTTTTTTTTTTCTACTCTCCAATTTCATTTTTTTTTCTCATTCATCCGTACTTCTATTTTCATTGTCCATTGTGTTTTAAAAATCCAGGCTAGCTTGTTCCGTCTCGGTGAGAGAGACGGTGGAATAAACAGGCTTATCACAGAAGTTCCATCATCTCTAACTACATTACATTATCATCAGCTCTGAGTACTATAGCCACTTACTATTGTCTCACCTCTTCACTCTCTATTTTGTTCTTACTGGCGTTTTTTTTTTTTCATTTTTGCCTTGCAAATTAATTTTTTGTGGGTTGCTATGTTTTCGTTAAATTATTATTCATCCAGTTATCCTTTTATTGCTATCTCTCATCAGAATTTTTATGAAAAAAAGAAATTATATTTGAGATTGTTCTTGGATGAATAATTTTTTAATGTAAAATACTCGATCCATTTCTCATACGTTCGAGCTGAACGCAATGGCACGAGGGGTTTTTCTAAATTCAATGGATTAAAATGTTTTCTCCACAAAGAAAACTGGTATCTTTTATTTATTCAATAAAAAAGGGTTTTTTAATAAAAATAAAAAGGATATTATCTGGCAACGGAGTACGTGGCGTTCGTCTGTCTGTTTTTATAATTTTTTACTGGCAAAAACAAAAAGGCTTTCTGTGGTTGTAGAAGGTACGATGGACTGTTGACTTACCAAAAAAGGAAATGAGGACTCAACGGGGAGACACGAATTGGGGGAATGAACTTGAAGAATGTGATGATTTTGGGCGAATGGGAGATTGAGTGTCTTGTGGAATGAATGACGGGGTGTTTTTTTTTTTTCTCCTTTTATTGGTGATTTGGCAGAGGGGCAAGAAATCGCTGGTGCGGTCCTACCTACATACTACGTATTTTTATTGTCACAATAAAGCAAAAATACATGGTGAAGTGTCGATGGTATGGTAGCGGGGGATCTACGTACAAATACTAACTTCTGTGCTTACAGGTAGGCCAAGTCCATTCATTATTCCATTAACGATCAAGGTGTACTGTGATTAATTTATTAATTGATCCAGGAGATGAGTGATGGAAGAGGATAAGGCAGTTGGGAATAAAAATCTTCGAAGATCAGTTGATCAGCTGATCTGAGGATTTCGTTTTTTCCCTCTTGAAGAAATCTAATTAATTACACAAAATTGATTGAATTTAATTCCCTCTGTTATTTTAACTGCCAGCCTGGACCACCACTTCACTACTGAATTAATTCTCAATTAACATTTTCTTCTTCATACTCTTCTCAATGACAATCAATCGGTAAACGAATAATACACCTTGATCGTAATCGAGACGTCGTGCAGGAGAATTTTGGAAAATTTTCTGTCCTTTATTTAGTCGGTGGATTACCTGCACGAGGTCCAGCCGTGGTGGCTTAGCAAGTAGTGAATTTTTTTTCAAATTTTTTTTTTTTTACAATTTTTCGTACTGTATATAGATGAATCATTGGGTCCATCGGTTAATTGGTTACTGGTGTTTTGTTTTCATGTATGCAACGTTTAACTTTATATTTTTTTAAATTTAATTTCAATCTATCGGTTCACGTTACCCTAGCGCGTTCTCAATTATTGTCACTGACTAATTAGGATGATTGACATTTTTTTCATATTTTTTTATGTAATTTCTTAGGGATAATATTGATTTATTTTTATTTTTTCATCTATTGGAATTTGTTTTTGAATCGTTAAATGACGGGAGTGGACGGTGGAAATTCGTTTGATATAAAGTTGAGAAAATGTCGTGGGAAATTTTCAGTAATTGTTATTTCTATCACAGATGAGATAATGATGCAGCCAACGGCGTATCCACCGGGTCCAATATTTACACCTCAGACGGCGATGATGCCACAGGGACTGCCACTATTGGCACCACCACCTTTTCAAACGCTCGTCTGCTTTCCTTATGCACCACTGTCACCACCAATGGACCCCTGGCATCATCGAGTGCACGCACCCACCAGTTGCATAGGTACTGTATTTTTATCAACATCTCATTTTTTTATTTTTAAACATGTCATTACCGATTAATTACCGATTTAAATCACTTTGCATGTTTCCATCTTTAAAATTATCTCAATTATCCATAAGTGAATTCGTGTCTGAGATAATCTAGTTTCCTTTCCTTTTCCTCATTTTTATTTTCAACTGAAGGAATATATGAGGAATTATTTTAAAGATATTTTAAAAATCATGTTCGTAAAAAAAAATTGTGAGTTCTGATTTTCATGTATTGCTATTTTTTTTTATTATTCCCAAAGCAATTGAATAGTTGTGTCTAATTTTGTTGGGCTTTTGTAGTAATTTTGAATTTAGAGTCATTGAAAAATTTCGTAATAATATGGAATAATTAATAATATTTAAAATACTATTAATTATTCCAGCATTCGATGGAATTCATGGGGATAAATTACATTGGACTTAGGTCTCGACGAGATTGTTATCATGCATAAACAATTGTTATCAACGATAATGTATGGAATTTCACGTCAGGTTTTAAAAAATTGAAATTCCTTCAAAATTAAATCCATAACCGTCTGAAGGGCTTCGGACAATAGGCACCTCACAACGAATTACGTTGAAATCTAAAAATATAAATAATATATAAAATCCATAATAACTTTTGTAGTTGTCGAAAATACTCATGTATTTAATTTTCATGTTCAATCTCTTCGAATATATGATCCCAAATAGCAAAGAGGAATTAAGAATTGGGAAAAACCTCATTTGCAATTTATATTTGAGAATTCTATAGGATAAAAAAATTCAATAAACGTAGGGGAGAGCCGGGGAAAATGGGACACTTGGAGAAAAGCGTTTTGAATGCATCCCCAGTGTTTTTTGGAATTGGGATTCAACATTTTGTTATCAGTAAAGTGTAATGAACTTTTTTAAAAACTGAAATGTTGAATACTTAATTCTTACAACGGGCTTTTTCTTCTCATTTTCTATTTACCTCGGACATCCCCTATTTGAATGATTGTACACACATTTAATTTCCCTCCCCCAACCCCTCGACAACTCCAATAAATCATTATAATTCCATTTTTCCAGCTGACGTAGGGGTGCATGCAACCGCGACATTTGGACTGCTGGACAGACCAATGGAGTCTCTCCTGATAAATCGAGAAGACATGGATCAGCGTCAACAGATGCTCACACTCCAAGCCGCCAACATCTAGGATTCTCCCATCATCTAACATTGAATGCTCCAAAGAATTCAGTTCGATTAATCTTCCCCTCCATCTTCCACCACCCCCAATCTCCATTCGAGTAATGAATATTAACGAATTATTATTGAATAATCAACGAAGGGAGAAAGTGACAGAGTTATCGACGGATCATATCCTGCCCCGTAGTCCCTGACGTGTCCAAACAACACGATCTTTCTAGTCTAGAGACGAAGCCAAACTGTCGTACTTTCCCTTCATCTATTGTCTAGAGGCTAAATCAATCAGGACTTAATAGGTAAATCAAATAATTTCACTCGATTTGAAGATCAATTTCTCACGAAACACATTAATTACCTAATTAATTAATTGCCTACCGTTCAATTTGAATTGATCTGCTATTTTCCTATTATTTCCTGAATAATTTCGGAACATTCGATCCAAAATCGAGCGTCTTCTACTCATAGATTTTATATTTAATATATAAAAAGGATAAACTTCACTCTCTCCAGAAGTCTAATATATTCGAATGACAATTCACTTATATCGAATAATTTTCCCACCCTTGAATGAATAACGTTAGAAGTGAACAACAAATATTACAACAGTCTTCCCATCAGAATCCACAGTAACGAATATTTTTTATGTTAATAATTGATTAAAAAAAAACATTCATGTAAATAGATGCACCCACGCTATTGCCATTTGTCGTGAAGTACTATTACTCTATGCAATAATTACAGAAGTGCAATGGATCAATGATGCTAAATGTGACAATAACCCATTGCATCACGAAAACAAAAAGAAAAATGAACAAAAAAGAGACGTTTCGTTAATTAAGATTCCGTGATTTTTAGTTTATAAGTTTTCATATGATTAAATCAGCGTAGATAATCGTGATTATAATTGAACAAATATTATTTTATTGTTTGAGAACAACGAATGCTTTACATATCTGAAAAAAAAAATTTGCAATGGGCAAATAATTGGTGCAGTTTAAGCCTCAATGTACCTCGTGCAATATTTAACTAGAGCCGGTCGACGTTTCAAAATCATAACTCACATTTACACGAGTCATTGTCATTCCATCATCCTTCGAAAGCTCCTTGAAATTTTTACGAGGGAAAATGCTCAAGAACTACATGAGACCCTATTAAATTGACCACAAGTGTCTTGACCTCATTATTATCATTGATATGTTATAGATTTCCCATTTTATTCTCCTAAATGCATCACCGGCTCGAATATTTGTAATGAAACCACTATTTATACAAAAAAAAAACGAAATTATATATATATAGAGTTATATATCATATTAATATATTTTATAGAGAATATAGTTAGCCAAATAAAAATGACATTATTGTTTATAATTGAGTTATTGAATTTGAGGTAATGAGTGATTTACGATTGACTTGTGGGACAGAAATCCGAATTGAATTATTATGAAAATTATAATAACATCTAAACACATCAGTTTTTCCATTTTGATAAGTTCCCAAAATTATTGAATAATTAATAATGATATTATCTATTATTAATAACATTATTCATTAAATTATTTAATATAAGATCACCGAAATGACCACCATTACCAGAAAAAATATCGATTTGTCAGCCCACAGTGACGATTGTTAATTTATTTCTGTTGAAAATTGTACTTGAGATAGAATATTTATAAAATTATATTGAAATCTGAATACCGCTGATTTAGTGTTAAGTCAATTGCTTAGCTTGTCGCGCAGTTATACGATTACGACGATTGAAAGAGAAGATAATTGTTACTGAGACAAGCTTTCTTGTGATGTGAAATTTAAGATTACAATAATCAAGAAGCTTGTAGCAACGTTACAGGGCGATTATACCGTAAAAGAATGTGCAATATTCATTTATGTTGATATTTATTAGAGGAAGTGAGCAAATATTGCAGCTTCCGCACAAGCCTCTCTAAGCATAATAAATACTTAAAGAAAAATTATTGTTACGAATCCTGTGTGAGTCCTGTGGATGGAATTTCGATTATTCGAGGCGCTAAATCTAAATGTTGAATGCATTACTGTCAATTTGATGTCTTCAGTTAAATATGTAATGATCAATATAAGATAATATATTACTTACTGTGTTAGAGTTTTTTTTAATGACCGAGGATATTCTCGAAATCTTTGCCTCACCCTACATTTGTTTATTTCAGCTGGAGGTAATTATCGGAGAATTGAATATAAAATATTTGTACATAAATAAACGGGATTCAATGAATATTTATTATAAAATTACGCTATACACAAGGAGGTGTTGAGTTTTAACAAAATAAGGTAATCGTTTTTAATTCATGATTCTAGATCTAATCCTCCGAATTACACTATATACATTATTTCATGAACAACGATTGGTACAAGAATTCTTCTCCACACATTAATAACAAGAATAACACGCAGAGTCGTTCCTGACGACTTTCGTACTTTACATTGACAGAATGTTTGAAGAATGCATCGTTTCTGTTTTTAAATTACGGTTAAGAACACAAAATATTTGGTGAACCTTCAAGAATAAATGAAGAGTCTATTTCACACGATCATCATATGGCATTTAAATTATCCAATCGTTTTTAATTATAATTACCTAATTTTGCTAAAGTTTGACGTACATCCACGGATTGAAAATTATGAATCCCTGAACGAATAGACAACAGAAAAATACACCAATTTTAATGTTTGGGCTGTTTTTTCCTAGTCTATTTCTTCTGCCCACCGAAAAATATAATAGAAAAACGTAAATTCAGAAGACAATTCTCATAATTCCAGTGGAATTGCACAATGGAATTGTAAAAGGTGTCGAAATTCAATGAAATTGTCTAGCGAATTCACTTGGTTTTTCTCTACAATTTTTTCATACGTATCATCATTTCATTCTTCCTCGAAATACGAATTAAAAAAATAAAATGAGTAAACATCACATCAAGAGAATTTCTAAACGATATTCAGAAATTAATTTCGAGCGAAAAAAAACTCATTTTATTTCACCATCTCGTTACCAAAATCAATAAATTCGTCATAAATATTAATTCCAAAAATTGTGCGTCATTCGTGCACTGAATAAAAGTAATTCCCACGTGCGTCAGTTAATCTACGCTTCACACGGCCATAAATAATGATCATTGACTTGTGTCCCTCAAAAAGAGACGAATTAGGAAACGAATAATTTCGTACAATGAATAAAAGCAGTGAGGAATTCCACATAGTCTGGCACATAATATTTCATTAATCAGCACGAATTACGAGTAATGCTGCTTGTAAGAAGAAGTCATTTGCTCGAGGAAGATAAAGGTGAGGACCGTGTGGGGTCCTAATCTAGCATAATATGGAAAAAAGCCCTTCCACAGGGCGAAGACCCCCTCATTACGTAACACCTTTCCCAGAACGTCCAGAGCTCCTTTGTACTCCGGTTTTCCATCGATCATCTTCATGTTTTGAATTCTGCAAGCGATTATATCACACGGTAATTTAATGAACACAAAACTGAATGAAACATCACAATATTGGAAATTCAGTTGCAACTGTTGATGCTAATTGAAAAAATGATAAAAATGACTTTAGGGGAATGTTTGTTTTTAATTTCATGAGAATTGATATCACCTTGTCTTTGCAATGTCAACAGGCATTGATGCAGCAGTTGTGACTAGTCCCGAGATCATTGAGCTAGCAAAATGTAACATAATATTCTCCTCGAAATAACCAGTTTCCAGCAGAGCCTGTTTTGCCTGTGAATATGATGCTAATTGAGCTGCATTTACCACCATAGCTCTCCCCATTGTTGGAATGGCTCCACGCCACAGTGTCAATAAACCCTCTTCCCTTATTATTCGAAATAATGCGTCAAATACGTTTTTGTACATTCGTCGTTCAGCTGCAATTAAATGAATTATTCAACATTACTTGAGATTATTCCAATCAACATTTCGACTTTGCTCTTGCTTCGTGGAGTGATTGAATCGAAACATTCCGTAGTAAATTTGTTTTGAAGGCTTCCAATGAGTAAATTATTTATGGAATATTTACCGATTGGTAATCGACCGTCAGCAGTCATTCTGATAAGTGCGACCTCAGCTGGAGTCCCTACGAAAGCCCCTACACAACCTGCGGCCATTCCCAGAGCTGCTTTCGTTAGAAAATTCGGTTGACCATCTTTTCTACATGGGACAGAATAAAAAAAATTATTCTTATTTACTTTTAATTTGATTATTTCATTAACTGCTGATTTTTTCAGTCTCAACTTCGAAGTCAATTAAATTAATTATATGACAAGATAGGAAAATAATTTGATTACAATATCTCACTCATACGAATAATGAACCAAATAATGAGGGGATTAAAGGCTAATGACTTGTATAAAACAAATGGAAATTGAATCATGCAAGAATTTTTAGATCTCTGAAATCATGTGCTCTCTCTCTCCATCACATGACTGATGATTGAGTTCATGGATTGCATAACAACCGAAATGATAATCTCGAGATGTTTCGGGAATGGATAAAAATATTGTAGATTCTACTGGCCTCGAATATTTTCAAATGAAAATAAAACGCGCAAGTTATTTATTACAAGACGTACGATGCTAATTCGAATAGCCAAGTATAGATTCCCAGCCTTGTAGTTGTGTATGTTGCCTGTCTCATGAGTCCAGCAGAAAGTCCCGAGTACATGGCGAGAACTCCCTCATTCCTGAAGATTCCCGATACAACACTCATCGTGGAAACTCTCGTTCCACTGAGTTGCATTCGATTTTTTATCAGGTCCAAAGGTTGAACGAAACACGTTGCTGCCATTCTACATAAGACAAAAATTTGTTAATGCATAATTAGGGCGTACATGATGAAACAGCTTGACCAATGATTCCCTGGCCATTGTCCAATGTAATAACATATCCATCAACATTCATTATAAACAATAACACGACAAAAAAAATAATGACGATAGTCTGTTATAAAATCGATAGAATATAAGATTTGTAAAAATGTGTTAAGGCCAGAGAAGTTTTTTATCTGCAATTATCATTGCGGTGATTACTTAGAAATTATTCATTGAAAATTTATTGTTACTCACCCGGAGGTTCCACCAATGAGGAATTTGATACTATTAGGCACTGAAACTTCGGCTTTTTGGGGTGCCATGTCAGTGACTTTAATAGAATCAGGAGGGAATTGAGGAAATAATTTTTAATAATTGTTGTACTTTAAGGGACAATCGAGTAAGTTGACAATCGACCACCTGCTGATGTGAGATTCTAACTGAAAGTGCTGGTGCTTCGGTTTTCAATCTCAATGATCTTTAATCACAAGTTTTGGGTTGGAGAGCACAGACAACGTTTGTGGTACTGGGGAGTCGTTATTCTGAACGTTTTTACGGTACTGGGGAGTTGTTATTCTGATAATGTGTGGGTGAATTTAGTGATTCGTGAGGAATGTATTACCACCTCGTCAGCTGATCCCAAACGACTTTCCACCGGGATTTCGCCATCTCTCGGGGAATTTAGGAATTATGTTCAGTATGAAAAAATATCAGTGTAAACTTGGTACATTTCATTTATAAATTCTACCGGCCCTATTAAAATTCTGGGAATACCTTATTTACTTCGATAAAAAAAATCTTTATCAAAAATTCATGCCTGCGAATAAAAAAAAAAGAACAATCACATCCTCGATGAATCAAATATTAGTAAAATTCTAATAACATTTGCATGAAAAATTGAAAATCGTGAAAATGATCCTCTCTAAAATCCGTCAGAAAATTAAAATACCTTCTACCACGAATAGTATAAAACATTAAAAAATAAATTTGAATTTCTGCAAAATTTTCAATTTACAGTATTTCTTATTTTAAATATTTTTTTTCCGTCATGTTTCGATATGAATGAACAACTATAATGAAGTTCGTGGGAGAAATATAGGCTGAATTATTTTTAATCTCATGGACGATGACATCAGCTGTTTAAAACTCTTTTTCACGTATCTCTGACGCGCCTTCGAAAACTCAGTTTTTTTAACGTTTTAATTGCTGTGAGATAAATTTATCTACAAAATTTTCTGACTGAATTTTTACGTTCACCAATAGTTGGTGGGATATCTCTATTTACGTCTTAATTAAGGCATTTAATCAATTACGTTAACGAAATATTTAGCATTATATAATAATGTCAATGATAAACGTGAATTCATTTCATGATAAATTCCCGATAAAATTGTGCAAACTGTTCATTAAAGATGAATGTTATGACCGTGTGAGGACCAATTCTGCAATATGTGGGCCAGAATCCTTTCCACAGGGCCCCAATTCCTTCATTTTTCGCAATACTTGTGATGACTCCGATGACTCCTTGAGATTTTCCGCTCGTGCTGGCATTTTGAATTCTGTCAATCAAAGATAAATTAAATAAAAGAAAGGTTCCTCCCAAAAAAAAAATCCTAAACCATACGCGTCAACGAAATAAGAACAAAAAATTCTTCAGAATAGTTTAGTAATTTCTATGCGACAAATGACACGAAAAATAACACGTTACGCTGTACCTCGTTTTTGCGATATCAAAAGGCATCGAGTTGAACGCTGTAATGAAACCTGACACCATTGATGCGGAAAAGTGCAGGGGAATGCCATCAGGAATGCCAGCTGGAAGGACACGAGGTCAACGAGATTTAATAAAGTCTTGATCGTATGTATATTTTATGGAATAATTCTCATGTGGGTCATATCAACTGATAGAACCTACCTTTCGTACTCATTAAAATCTTGGCTTGACTGTAAGTAGCCAATTGTGATGCATTGACGACAGCAGAACGTCCCATAGTAGCCAAACTACCTCTCCAAAGAGTCGTCACACCCTCTTCCCTGATGATTCGAAGAAATGCGTCAACAACATTCTTGTAATTTCTCCTCTGATCTGTCAGAATAAATAATTTCATCATAATTCCACTATAATTAATACAAATAGAAAGAAAATAATGAACGAACGTTCAAAGGAACGAGTAATTTAGTCTTATTGAATGAATTATGAATGTATTTGATACCTGGAGGCAATCGACCGTCAGAAGTCATTCTGACTAACGCGACTTCTGCTGGAGTTCCTACGAATGCACCAACACAACCAGCAGCCATTCCCATCATCACCAATGTCCCGAAACCCGGAGTTCCTTCATTTTTTGCCCTTAATAAACAATAATTCTATTAAATGCTTCCATCACTTCCACTTTTCCCATTTTCATTTTTAAATTAAAATGGCCTAGAGGATTCCCTAGGTGTTTATCATTTTTTTCTAATCTTTTGGTATCGATGAGTGATCGATAATTTTAAGAGTAAATAATTTTTTTTTTCAGGATAATTACTTCCACGTGTCATTTAGCTGATTATAAATTCCAAGTCGTGCAGTGGTATATGTTGCCTGTCTCAAGAGCCCCGCAGACAGTCCAGCGTAGAATTTCGTGAAACCAGAACTTGATATCGCTGATATTGTCTTTCCTATTGTAACTTTTTCCGCACTCATTTGCATTCTGTTTTTTATAACATCCATGGGATGTACAACACACGTAGCTGCCATTCCGGATAATCCAGCGTTCAAAAAATTGATGGCTGGAGGAAGAGGTCTCGGTTTACCAGCGGGCGCTCCAGAATTTTCTTTATTCCCCGACATTATCACTTTTTTATTCAAATTTTTCACTTTTACAATAACCTATTTATTATCATTGAATTGACGTGAAATCATTTGTTTAAAAAAAAACAAGTGTAGTCAACGCTGAGAACTCAATCTTAAATCCACTCTCTTAAAGCAATCGAAGTGAAATCTGAACTCAATCGTGATTGCGCCAATCTATTCAATGAATTCTAGTTGAATAGGTCTCCATCATTTGACACGATTGCTTGAGGCATGCATTTTTTTTTTTTCGAAGCGTGACGTTGCACTTGTCGCGATAATGTCTGCATAATCACACGATGGAATAAAAAAATTAATTTAGAGGAAAGTCGAAGTCAACAGGAAGCGGGTTTATTGAAAAATTTTCTAAAATGTTGGATAAAAGTCTCGAAATGTTGAGTTCATCCTAGATAGAAGATCTGTTCCGGAGGTGTAGGATTGGAGCAAATTTTTCTCACTCTTCGTTTTCGTTTCACGGGTTCCATTGTCTCAGCTGTTTTCAGAGGAATAAGTCTGTTTTCTCTTTTGAAATTCTGAGTAAAATCCAAAAAAGAAAATTTATTTATGTCAATTATTTATTTATTATTCATTATACTGATTGATTATGCGATTATTTATCACCTCGATTGCTTTAATAATGGGAAATAGTGGTCTGATGTCCTTGGATTCCTCGAGGACCTCTTCACCGTAAGCAAGAACTCTATCATTCGTTCTCTGTATCGCCTTCTGTATCTCTTGCGAGTCGTCATCCATGATGCTCTCCATTTTCCGAATCGCCCTTTGTTCTTCCTAAAAAATAATCCATTTCGTAACAAGTGTGGAAAATATTTCCCATCCCGACGTGCGGAAAAGTAACTTTCCCGCACACCGTGAAGAAATAGTATATTCCGTAACAAGTGCGGAAAAGTCACTTTTCGGCACGCAACACCAAGCGGAGAAAACGTGAATTTTTCCTATATATGAATGTGGAAAATCCTTAAATAATAAATTTTCTTTTGAGTCAATTATTCGTAGTTT